TGAGAGCCTTCCATTGGATAAAAGGTCTAGGTTCATGAGCCCAAAAAATGAGGCCAGCTGCCTACCTGAATATACTGAATGACCAGGTTTTTCTATCAATGGATTTTTTTCTTCCCTGATGGCACGGACATATTGGAAGATGACAATGCCAGGATTCATCGGACTCACAACTGTGAAAGGGTTATTCAGGGAGTATGAGACATCATTATCACACATGGATTGGCCACCACAGAGTCCAGACCTTAACCCTATGGAGAATCTGTGGGATGTGCCAGAGGAGACTATAAGCAGTGGTCCAACTCTCTCATCATCACTATAAGATCTTGGTAAAAAATAAATAAAAACTCTGGACAGAAAGAAAATGTTGTGACATAAGCTTTTCAAAAACAATGCCACAGCGAATGCGCGCCATAATCAAAGCTAAAAAGGTGTCCAATAAAACATTACAGTGTGTGACTTTACACAGTGGTCCGACTCTCCCATTATCACTACAAGACCTTGGTAAAAAAAATGAATGCAACTCTAGACGGGAATACATTTTGTGTATTGCTCAGGCTTGTGGAAGGCGGTCCAATGAAATATTGGAGTGTGTGACTTTTTTTTTTGGTTTGGTCAGGCAGTGTGTGTTTACTGTTTTACATGCCTCTAGGTAAGGTTTATATCCCCATGATGGTGTGTATCTCTGTTTGTTTATAGACTAATCCTATGATTTTAATACACGGTTAGTAGAAATGGAGCCATTCTTTTATCGCTTTAGACAGATTAGAGCAGAGCCAAAATCTCAGTTGGGTTTTGCCTGTATATTTCTTATGGTGATTTTCCCTTTTTTGTTTTTTTTTCTGGTGACATAAAAGGAAATCAAGTAATCTTGCCAACAGAAACCTTAAGAGCAGCAAAAATCCGAAAATGTTCATATGCTGTCTGTATCTTCTTTTGGAAAGCAGTATATATTGCCCAGCAAACGATTTATTTACATTTTTCCCAAAGCACTTACAGTCATTGTGTTTCCAAACAGCTCCAACTCTCTCAGCTCGGCTACCCTGAACTTCCTGTCCAAAACAATATCACGAGGGACAGGGCAATCTCCAGCAGCTGTCCATCTACTAGCTTGGAGAAGGGAGGAGGAAGCAGGGGAGAGGCAAACCCTGCTGTGCCTGTGTATATGTAAAGACACACACACACACACACCTTACTAGCACACACAAGGGTGGCTCCATAAGATCCTGCTAAGTAAAGGAGCCACCCTAAAACAGGATATCAAGGCCAGTGCTCAGGGGACCAGCTAATTCTGCAGGAAAGCAAAACGTTTACACATCAAGAAGCAGCATCCATTGTAAGTGATTTAATCAGCATTTCAAATAGCTTAAAATGTTTTGACTTCATTATTACTTTAAATACTAAAGCTATAATAAGGATGACAGTTCAAGAGCATACGCCTTTACACTCAAACTGTATTTTGCCTTGAATAGGCAAATTGTTAGGCTTGCTCCAACAAATACTTCATTATGGTCCAATACTTCAACTATGGTGACCAACCCATTTCCCAAAGTGCAGTACTCAGTGCCCGAGTGGCCAGTCACCAGGCCCAAGCGCTCTCACATGGGGACAGAGGAAAGAATGCCCAGCCCTAAACCTTGCTTCCAACAATGCAGTGCTTGGTGCATGATCAGCCAATGGCCAAGCTCTATTACATGTGGATGAAAGGAAGCATGCATAGCCTTGAGCCATGCTTTTCATGGTGCAGTATTTGGTGCTGGAATGCCAAGCCTCCAAGTGCTGCCACATAGGGCAGAGGGAGCATTAATAACCCCGATTAAGTTTTGATTTTGTGAATGTCACAAGAAATTTGGGGGCTGTAGTGGTGAATTGGGATGGTTGGGGAGCATGGCCCTAATACAGTGCATTTCTTTCATAAAATTATTATTTTCACATTTAAATGTGAGTCCACTTATGAAATAAGTGAAGTTAGTGAAATTAAGATCTTCAAGTCAAAATGTATAAAGCTCCAATTTGCACAGCACTTTACAAAATAAAGGGACACCATACAGTTACAATACAAGTCAAGTGGGTTAAGGGGGACCCTGCTCATGAAAGCTTACAATCTAAAAAAGAAGGACAAGTGATACAAAGGCATGAACTGTGAGGGATGAGCTGATGGAGAAAGTAAAAATTCAGTTTTAGGTAGAGGGGGGATAGGGTTCCCTGAAGAGATGAGTCAGGGCTCGCCTAAACATAGAGGTAGGAGATAGACAGAGAGGTTGAGGTAGGGAGTTCCAGAGGTTGGGAGAGACTCTGGAGGCCAGCATGGGAGGAGATGACAAGGGAGCTGAAGAGTAGGGAGTACTAGAAGGAGCAGAGAGGACAGTTTGGGTCATATTTTGAAAAGAGGTTGGTGATGTAGCTTGGAGCAGAATTGTAGATGGCTTTGTATATTATTGTTAGTATTCTGAATTTTATTAATTGCCGGTAGAAGGATTGGTAGGGAGGGGTGGTGGAAAGTGTATAGTTGGTAAGGTGTATATGTCTGGCAGTGGGGTTCATGATAGACTGAAGGGTGAATGGCCTGTGTAGAGGAAGGTGTAAAAGGAGGGATTTGCAATAGTCGAGGCGAGAGATAACCAGGGAGGGAATTAGTATCTTGGTGGTGTCATTGGTAAGAAGGTTTATTGTGGAAATGTTACGGAGGTGAAGGAAACAAGATTTAGACAGTGATTGGATGTGAGGCTGAAGGAGATGTCAGATTCCAGGATTGTTAATATTATATTATACAGGATTTATATAGCGCCAACAGTTTGTGCAGCGATTTACAATAAGGGAAAACATTACAATACAAGTCAAGACAAGATGGTAAGGAGGGCCCTGCCCATGAAAGCTTACAATCTAAAAGGGAGGGGCAAATGATACAAGAGGTGGTAGCTGTGTGAGGATGGCTTGTTTGAGAAAGCGATAGCTCAGTGATTGGGTTAAGGCCGGATAGGCTTGGGCCTAAAGGCAAACAGAGTAGGAGATAGCCGGATAGGGTGGGGTAGGGAGTTTAAAGGATTAGAGAGGAGTTGAGGAAGACTCTAGAGAAGTCCTGGAGGCTTGCATGGAAGGAGTTGACGAGGGAGCAGGAGGTCTTTTGGAGATCGGAGGGGACGGTTAGGCCTGGTTCACACCTGGGCGTTTTACAGCGCGTTCCTACGCTCTGTAAAACGATCAACATTTGAAAACCAATGATTGCCTATGGGCATGGTTCCCACCTGGGCGTTTTACAGCGCGTAGGAACGCGCTGCAAAACGCCCTACACCCAAAAAAGTACAGGAGCTTCTTTGGGGCGTATTTGCGACACGTATCCATTGGGATACAGCCAGGTAGCCCTCGGAAACGCGTGTTTGTCTTGCATTTTTTTTTTTACTGCGAATCGCGGTAAAAACGCGCATATTCGATACGCCTAGGTGTGAACCCAGCCTTAGGGTGATACTTTGAGAGGAGGTTGGAGAAATATCCGGGGGCAGAGTTGTGGATGGCTGTGTAAGTGGTTGTTAATATATTGAATTTTATCCTTTGGGTGATTGGAAGCCAGTGCAGGGATTGGCAGAGGGGGGTTGCAGACACTGATCGGTGGATGAGTCTAGCAGCAGCATTCATGATAGACTGAAGGGGGGGATAGCCTGTGTAGAGGTAAGCCAATAAGGAAGTTGCAATAGCCAAGTGGATGAGTATCTTTGTGGTGTCATTGGTGAGGAAGGAGCATATTTTGGAGATGTTACGAAGGTAAAGGCGGCAGGATTTGGATAGTGATTGGATGTGGGGAAGAAAGGTGAGGTCCGAGTCAAGGAGGACACCTAGCACTTTGGCATGGGGGGAGGGAGGGATAGTTGTGTTATCAATTACACCGAACACCTGGCAGGCAGGAGGAATTGATCACTTAGATATTGATCTAAATGGAAAATGGTGGTATGGTAGTGATGAAAGCTAAGTGTTGCCAGAGAAGGGCAACCAATGTTTGTACATTCGGTTTTCAAATGCATGGGGTTCACTTTGTGTTGCAGCATTAGATTTTTATTTTATTTTTAAACAAAAAACTATTTTTACTGTAGTATTGACCAATTTCTAACATTCATGTATTCTGATGTTTATAGATCCGGCAACTCTTATTTGATTTTATTTTAGCATGCTACTAGCAATGTTTTGCAGATAAGGAACATATTGCAGAGATGTGTCCTGACAAAAAGAGGATTCCCAGTAATGGAGCAGCAGACTCCATGGCTGAGTGCTTGAAGCACAGTGACAGGTGGGATGCCCCTCTTATGTAGTGCTTAGAGTAAATAAAAGGAAGCTAGTTAGAGCATCCAGGGCCATTCAATAACTGGCCATTCACTGGATGTTTTGCTTTTTGTTTTACTAAACAACAAATACATTGGCCACATGGACCATCAATAAAACACATAGTAAATTACACTTCCATGGCTGTCCCTGGAGGTGACAGTCTGACACATGGCAGATCTCACCATCAGCACTGAAGATATATTGTAATGACAATTGCTAGCAAAGGTGACTCTTTTCAGAGGTAAACAGCAAACTCTGATTGTGTTAATGGCTGTTCCCCCTCATAAAATGCGCAAATGACCCGCTAACACCACCATATAGCCATAGGAAGCTAAACACAGGGATCTGATGATGTCTGATCACAATCAATGGCAGTGCAATCATCAAAGCCCACATCAGGTGTTGTTCAAACATGTTTCCAAAACAAAAATAAGAGCCCTGGCCAGAATACATCAGGGATGGTTACAATATGGCATCCGTGGCCCAGAGATGGTCCAGCAGTCACTGGAGGATGGGGATGAACCTATAGAATCAGAGCAGGCAGACATCTCAGGGCCCCAAGGAATCAGGTCCATGGAAAACTGGGTGCTGTTCTGCAGAATCCCCCCCATCTTGCTCTTTGTAGAACAAGGGCTCACCCCAGCCCCCCTTCAGCTCCATCCCCCATAGACTATGAATAGAGATCTTACCTGATGCTGCTGGCTCTGCTCTCTCCGTGCTCCGCCAGCCAGATTATTTCTGCAAATGTCTTTTCCCCTCCCCCCTCA